AAGATCCTAAATACCTGTAAAAACGATCTTACTTATCTGGACCCAAGATCTGATTCAAGATCTTGGTACAAGATAATATGATTATCTTGTACCTAAATTTTCAAGATCTGTTAACATTTCTGTACCTTGTATCTTGCCCAAGATCTTGCTTACAAGATGTTTGACTAGGGTAATCGTCTCGATTGTATGACTCAATCGGCTAAAGGATACATATGTAACATGAAGTACCCATGTTCGAATCTAATCTATATCGTCATCCTTCATTCATTTAGAATAGTTCAGACCCCGCTAGTTAATACCTCGAAGACTAGTTCAAGATGCTGTCGAAGACTACTGATTGATCATGTTTAGTCTTTTTTTCAAAAAAGGCCTCGTCTATGACTAGTCAACGTTTTGAGAATTGTTTTTTCATCTCGATCGACTCCGGACTAGTCTTAGACGAGAACTTTTTGCAAAAAAGACTAGTTATGCTGATACTAGTGACGCCCGTCAGTCACACAGTTAGGGCGAGAGATGATAATGGTCTAGAATTCCAGACTAGTCACGTACTAGGACTTTTTGATGAAAAGACTAGATCTAACGGGCCGTCATGGCTAGAAAATCGACTAGTCTTTTAATCCATCTTTTGCTTACCTGTGCAACAAGTCACAAAGTCAGTTGCTCATATTCATCTTTAGAAATAGGATTATTGGATTTTCATGCTTTTGATAAAGACGAAATTTAGTTTCATCGTCCTGTCTGTGCAACGAATTTCCTTTCTAGAGAAATGTGTTTCTAAGAATTATTTGATGCTACTCACCACGTCGTGCAGATTCGTTAGAATCGTACTCTCGTTGGAAAATGAATATATGAGATTTAAATTTTGACTACGATGTTAGAAAGAACACCATAAATTGTCTAGAACTTCAATGTTTCACTATTGAGAAAATTAAATAACCGAGTGGCAGGAGTCAAACAACTTTCTCAGCGTATTGTTGGCATGTTTTTATTGCTAATTTTCTTCTGCAATTTGGACCAATCAAAATTAAAAGAGACTTTTCACACATCAGTGGATAGTACTTGACGAGTCTCTCTTCATGTTTATAAGATAATTTCCTGACTGCCAAAAGTAATCATGAGTTCTGAAGAAAAGGAATACTCAGTCAGGAAGTGCGTGTTTTGAAAGAGGTTTCTTGTTTTTTTTTCTGTACAACAACAAGTTCAACGTCTTTTCTTTCTCATACAAAATACGAGCATGAATACACCTTTTCTTTTAGACATGTTGCTGAACCCTCGATCGTCAGTGTCCAGAGAACAATAATTTTCACGGTGACGTGATATCATTCATCTAAAACTGTGACATGCCATTTCAACCATATTTTCCTCACACAGAGAAACAATATTGAGCTCATCTTTTAAACACAATGTGAGACTCATGAGAGAAGAAAATGATATCAATTTCAAGTCAAATAGCTTATCCTTTTTTGAAATATTGATGCTGTAAAATTAAAAAGACGGTGTAACATTCGGTGAAAAAACTAGAATTCTCGAAGCTTTTCACCATTTCCCTACATCAAAACAACATTCACCACTTTTACCATGGAAAGTATGTTTCAGAACTGTTCTTCTTTTTAAGATATTTTGATTAATGCTTAATCATCTTTCGATGACTAATAATCCTTCTCAAGGTGGCATGATATTTTGATTATACTTTTTTATTTTCCTCATACGGATATTGACTTCATTCTTATTATATTTTGAGAACTCACAAGAGAAAAAAAGCTATAAATGTCAGGTCAAATGGCTTATCCTTTTCGAAGATATTAGCACTGTAAAATTCAAAAAAAGTGACGTTAGATTCAATGTGAAAACGATAATTTCTAATAACTATTCCCATTTCTTTTTCTTCAACATAACAGGTCCTACGATTCATTTTCACACAAAATATGTCCAAGAAGTGGTCATCTTATTATCAAAACTAACAGAACTCCTAATTAATAAAATACGGAGAAAAATCATTTCTAAAGCTAGAGTGATATACTTTACATTAAACGTTTACATGAAATTTTCAACGTTTTTTTATTCTTTTTGTCGTAAGGACGAACCATATTGACGTCATTTTTTATCACATAATGAGGGCAACGAGAGAAAATGATAAACATTTCAAGTCTAATAGACTAATCCATTTTGACATCACTCGTGCTGTCAGACTGAAAGAGTGTCGTAATATATTTTAGTTAAAACGGAGATGATGTCACATTCTTCACATGAAATGGTGGCGTGATATTTCATCGATATATCCGGCTGTTCATCAGACAGTTAAGTAATATTGACTACCATTTTGTATCACATAATGAAGAACACAAGTAAAAAAAAGCAAATATTTTCAAGTGCAACGGCTTATCCTTTTCGAAGATATTGGGCTTATAAAATTTGAAAGTGGCGCCGATTCAATGTGAAAAGGAAGTCTCGGAAATTTTTATCATTTCTCTTACTTAACTAAAACGAGTCTTGCGATTGGAGATCAGAGGAAACATTCGGACCCGGTTATCAACCTCAACCAGCTGGAGTCGGGACCAAGGATGTGAGATAAAGCTACTACAAACGCGATTTCATCCCGGCTAAGGGGATCATCAGGTGGTTTGAATCTCAGTAGAATTGTATGATCATATAGACCAATTGCTAGTTTCCATTTCACTGTGAATAATGAATCATCCGTAGAGGAATTATTAATTGACATGGAAAACAATCGATGTGTTCCCTCATCAGTGAAATGCTCTAATATGACTCTAGATACTTGTGGTTTAATAGAATGATAGAATGAAATGTTTGATACAGCAGGTTAGAAGAAGTGTACAATTTCATTAAAACGAGCGTAGTAAATAGAAATGCAACAATAAAAGGAGAAATTTTGTGATAAAATCGTGTTTGATCGAATTTGTGCTTCATTGCTTCCTTGTTTTATATTGTGCGTAGAAAAGATGGACCTGGATGTGTTCGCATAAGCTCATACATGATTTTTTTTTATTATTTCGGTTGCCTACTGTTACTTTGACATTCACTAGTGGTGTATTCCATGAAGACTTGATTCCAGATTTGATGAATGTCTCGTTTTGTAAGATTTGAGTCGTCTTTCATATGTGTAATGGAGAATAAGATAATCGACCAATTTTTTTCTTTTGCTACGACTGATGGATTTTGCACAGCTTCAATATTAGCATTCTCTACGATGTTGTCTGTGTTGGCTAATGTTAGGCTTTTGTTCACTTGTGACTGTTTCCTTGTAGGAATATTTAGTAGTTGTTGACGCAGACGAAGATATAGACTCTCGTCTATAATTGATATGAACATATTTGTCGTGGTCAAATGATACATTGAGAAGAATTTCTTGAATTGAACATCGATAAATTGTGATGGACACCTAAATATGAATAGGTAGTGATTGGAAGGTAAAAGATGCATAATATGACTCATCCATTATATAGTAACGTTATTCGAATATAACGACGCTCATCGTCAAATGCTTTCAATGTCTATGAATAGCAAACAACTCGAGTTGAGGCACCTTGAACAATATTTCTCAATGCATGTCGAGCATAATCGGATTTGAAAGAGATAACATAGGGTTCGGCTGTTTCTTTATGCTAAAACGATGTGAACAGAATGCCATTATTGTTATTCATGTGAACGTCGAGAAAGGTCACACGTTGTCCAATTTTGCTAGTCAATTGGATGTTTGGATGAAAGTCATAGGCTTCGTTTATCATTTGTTCAACCTTTTTGAATGATCTATTCGAGGTGAGAAAGACATCATCGATGTATCTATTTACAGCAACAAGGATTGCGTGATACTCTCGACTTTTGATTGCAAAACATATCGGCCGTAGATTTCGTTTAATACAAATTGTCGATGTAGGGTGTGGATGTAGGTGTGGGGTGTGGGTGTGGGTGTGGGTGTGGGTGTGGGTGTGGGTGTGGGTGAAGCTGTTCCTGAATAGACACTAGCATCCACACCCACACCACGCCCACCCCACACTCACACCCACACCCACACCCACTCACATACCCCACACCCGCTCACATACCCCACACCCGTTCAGCGTCGATTATGGTTGGTCACTAAGTACACTGCTGGCCAGAAGTCTCTAGACGTATGAAACTTCGAGTGAAGATCAATCGTTTTCCATGATATTTTTACCAGAGATGCAGCTTGAAAAACTGTGATCGTCAGTACCAATTCGAGCTCGAATACGCTGAGTAAAAGTGGAGTTAGAGATCAAATACTGCTTTTAGTCCGGTAAGCACAATTTTGATATTTAAAGGATTTCTCAACCGGGTTCATCCATTATTTCAAACTTTCTGCTTGCTATGTTTATGAATATCACCAATTTTTTCTAAAAAACTTATATCGGAGATGTAACAAACAGTAGTCTTCAAAAGCAAGAGAGAGCTAGGTTGAAAATTTCTTTAACTATTGAAATTGTGTTTACCGGACTGAAAGCAGTATTTGATCTCTAACTCCACTTCTACTCAGTGTATTCGTCTTCGGATTGGTACTGAAGATCACAGTTTTTCAAGTTGTGTCTCTGGCAAAATATCATGGAAAACGATTGATCTTCACTCGAAGTTTCATACGTCCAAGGACTTCTGATCAGTAGTTAAATATGCTTGCAATTTTGCGCAGTGACCAAATTCTAGTGAAGGGTTATTTTAGATATCTCAAGTCCTGTACATATATGCCGCATTAATTGAAGTCTTATATGCATATCTTAACATAATTATGGCGGCCTTTTTCTTGGACTTGTGGTGAATTAAACATTTTTTGGAGCTCTGAGAGATCTCTATCTAAGCATTGCTCATATATTTTACGAAGTTTCTTAGAGTCTATTCGTATGAAGAGTAAAAACAGAAGAAAAAAAAGGACCACTGCGGAGTCTGTATTATTGTCACAGTAAAGCATGTACTTGGATTGTAAGGTTTTTATTTTTTATTTTTCAAGAGCAATGACACATCTTTAATATTTAAACCACAGCATAACCAAGAAGACCTTCGTTTGTAGCTTGCTCACAATTTGCATTTGATGAAACAAAGTAGTCAGAACCTAATCGACATCGATAAATGGCCACTGTTTTAACACTAGTCTGGTCGTTTGTATAGATATAACCCAATGGTCCTAGGGCATCTTGATTTTCACAATGTTGATTTACAGATGGAAAACGTCGTTGGTCAGTTTTGCGTTGGCATTCAAAGATCAGTTTAGTATTTGGTTGGGGTTCACGAAACAATTTCCATGTTTGTTCAATTGTGTATCCAGCGGGTAGTGGTCGTGTTGTTGAAATGTGACCATTAGTTTGATGACGCGCTCGTTTCAGAACAACATAGGGTAAGTTTTGGAAGCCACATGATAATTTTGATGGTGACACATCGAAACGATTGACCATTGCCCACAGTGACCATGCTCGCTTGTAGTTTCCATTTGTGTCAACCAAACCTAAGCCAAGTCCTTGCTGTATTTCAACAATATGATCTTTCATACGATGATAAACGAATAAGTCGACATTTGGCGTAGCTAACATTATTTCAAAGGCAGCACACAATTGATCGTGTTGTTTATTCTGATCTGAATTAGGTGCTATAGAATTAATGCCATTTTCTGTCAAATAAACTTTATGTGCGGATGAAGTATTCGGAAAACTTTGCATCAACCATCCGACAAGTCGATTGATGTTACCAAATGTAATTTTCGGCCAATCGTTCGGACCAAATTCAGCACGAAGAAGACTGGGTGGATATGGATGATAAGCTAGAGCCCATTGCCGATTCCCTAATTTGGGTACTAGTTTAGTGATAAATGTTCGACCAGACATGAACTTTAATAATTAAAAAAATATAAATTGATAAGAATAATTTGCAATCAAGCTCACAAATGGCATACTTACTGGATTAGTCGCCGAAGCATACTGATCAAAAATTGTATCAAAATGATGTTCAAGGGAAACAAGAACAGGTGCTTGAGGTTGTTCACGACGAATCTGATCATAAGCAGCAATATAAACTTGAGCATAGTGTTGAACCCATGCATCAATGTTACATGGTTTACCATTACCACATCCGATATTGTACCATTCAGCTGCATTGACTTCATTCATAATCACAAATTCTGTTATGCGTCCCTTGCCATTTTGACCATTGTAATGCCATGCAAGGAAGCCAGCAAATCGACCGAAAGCTGCAGCATTGTCAGGTGCGCAAAACGCCTGATTTGCCTGTTTACAATCAGTATTACGTTGACGGGCCCATGCTGGTGGAATGATTAGTACAGCAGTGATCATTAATTGTCGATCTGTATATGTTTTTATTGGACTATCACGCGCCGGTATAAAACAATAGCCATCGTAGGCGATTTCATTGTTCGAGCATGGTATGCGTTTTTCTTGTGGTTGAAAATCGGCCCTACATGAAAACATTCTAACTATGATGATTGATGGCAAAGAAAGAAAAGATATAAAATCAAGGAGTTGTCAACTTTTGAAAACAAGAAATGGTATATCAAATGTACATTTTCAATGATTTTTTTACTCTGACAATCAACCATTTTTTAATAGTAACTCATAAGTCTTCGACTGAAATCATTGTGAATATTTGACTTATCAAAAGTTCTCGTCTGTCACATCTATAACTTTGCATATTTTTTACCAAGGAGTATTGATCGCAATGCCACCTGCTCCATTGCCTGCAATATCTTCAACTTTCCACTGATCCGGTTGAATTGCTTTGATTCCATAGATTGATCGTTGGGGATAGACTTTTGGATTGCTGAGTTCGGTAGCTGATGGCCGAAATATTTTCTTATCGGTCAACCCATCACTTACCGAAAATGCGTAGTACCAAAGCAGTACGAGATACACCGATAAATTTCTCATTTACGAAATAGAATCGTTTTCTTTTTTTGTATTATATATTGCCATGCAATAATGTTTTTATGCGAGAAAAAAATCGATAGGGTATCAAAATCGTTTTTTTTCTTGATCCTATGATACTTCAAATTGTGAATTACGCGGTCGTTTTATAATTGATTTTTCTCATCTAGTTGATTGTGGCCTACTCAGATTTTTATGCATTTTTTTAGTCTAGTAGGAGCTTAGCCATCGCACAAGTGAAGTGATTATCTAACGTCAAAACAAAACGGCCACAAACAAAGGCTCTAAAATTATTTTCTGAAGAAGTGAAATAGAACGATTTGACTGAAGTTGTGGATGTGACTCTTGGCCAATCAAGAACCTCTACACCCAAATTTCAACGAGTTCATTAAATGGTATCCGTGAAACACGCTGTTTTTGTATCGAATAATAACTACAAATAACATATGAATTGAGGTTGACTAAGACATACAAAAAAAAACACCCAAACCCTTTCTGATTTTTTATCCATGTTAATGGGATACAGTCAGTTCCGTCAACAATAGACATGTATACGTGTACATGTCATTTTGTTCACCGAATTCAATATATGAAATGAGAAGTAGCTTGTTCTACATTGATAAACGTTTTAAAAATGTTACTGAACAAAACCTTTGCATTTTAGTGTAAATAATTGTTTTATCAATTATCATATCATCATTTTTTACTATCTTGGTATTACAAAATATCATTTTTTTTTGTATGCTTTCGCCTCTTCCTGATGCATTAAAAATCTATAATCTTGAAAGTCAATTGATTAATTGGTTTCATTTGGTACATGTACGTCTCAAGATATCCACAGCCAGTTCTATGATCGAACAAGAAAAGTTTTATCTACTTAAAGTTGTGGGTGGATGTGGGTGTCCGTACGGGCTGTGGAGGTACGTGTGTCTCTTTTCCTGATCTACACCCACACCCCACGAATTCAGAGATGTAGAAACAATCAAGCGGGAAACAAGATACGCCAAAGGCTGTAACACCAGGCCACTGGAGGTAACCCCCAAGCCCTAATCGTCCTCGAAAGACTATAGCTTGTCTTGTAAAACCGAAAATTTAATTTTGTGCGACGCTTTTACATGAGAGGGAACTTTATTTATTGTTCTTGTTTAGTGATATTCGCTGCCAATGGTTCCTTCTCAACCTTTCCACAACCTCGTTCTTACGAAATTCATTTTCGTATAATGTCTTCCCAACCACACAAGTGTTCGTCAACGATGTCTCGATTCCAATGGAACCCTTCAACAAGTTGATCAACGGACAAGACGGTACAGCTAATGGATTTACCTAAGACCGATCAATCCTGTCTGTGATAATCTATATCCGTGAAAAAGTGCCCACTTCTCAATGTCTACAAGTTGTCGCTCAACGCTCGCACAGTATCACTCATCCGTTGCTGATTGAAGCTCTGGCTTCGTTCGTCGGCCTTCTTGCCAAGTTTCAAGTGGGCAAAGCTCAATTTGACAGCGAGTGGAGCATTCGATCGGTCTACATGGATGATTATCCTCAATTGCTGGATGCTGCAGCCACTGGTCTTTGCATAACGCATACGCCATCGGTCGCTAAAGATGAATTTCAAGCATTCTTCTCACAACGTCTGCCTGGCGCTTGCGATGAAATCGCAACGAAAATCGATAATCTTGATCCAACTCTTCGCGGTGTTCTCTTGGCACAATTACAATGTACAAAATTTCTTCGACAGAATTAATCCAAAATTTTCAAGATGTACCCAGTGAAAAAATGTCAGATTGTATCAGATTATGTAAGATTATAACCGGACTTTTGTGCAACAAAATCCAAATTATAATCGATTGAAATCTTCTAAATCAACGATAATTTGATTGTTAATCAAAAAATATCTCCTAAATCAAGTATAATTTTGTTGAAAATCTTATAGTTACGATTAAAAATCATATCAAATCAAAAATACATGATTTTAATCAAAATTATACTTGATTTAGGAGATTACTTTTGATTAAAAATCAAATTATCGTTGATTTAGAAGATTTTAATCGATTATAATTTGGTTCCTGTTGCACAAAAATCCGGTTATAATCTTACATAATCTTGTCATTTTTCACTGGGTAGAACTTTTTTGGGCCAAACATTAGTATCGAGTCAATTCATTATGATATTTGCTTTAATAGATTGTCGCATTTGACGGCGGGCGATTAGTTTCAAGTTTAGGGGAAGAATGCGATAGTGTTGAACAAGTAAACGAAGATGAATGATATAGAAAATAGACTAGATTGCATTTTTTATGCATATACAAAATATCCTGCAACAGTAGACATCCATGCTTTGTTAGTGGATGTAAAATCGGCAGCAGTAGATTCTTCCTTAGAATCAACTAGTGCATGTATGAAAGTGCTATCAGACATGATTGAGAAAACTGTAAATGGCATTGTAAAAATAGACCCTATCCATGGTGATCGGAAAGATTTAATTAAAAATTGGAACATTTGCAAAGTATTGTGTACCCAGAAGTTTTCCAATTGTCGATAAGTAAAGAAACAGTAGCAACGATTGTACAACCGATAGAAAGGAACAAATCGAATATCCATTCTGTTTTAAAACTCAGAGATAGTGATCTTTTAATTTACTATTTGAATAATATAAAGATATTAAAAGACTTGATCAAGCTAACTTTTGTTCAAGATGCTTATAAAGATGCTCTAAGGTTTGTCAGTAAGAATATTAGTGAATTCTGTACAGAACTCATGAGAAATTTCAATCATGCTTTAGCTAGCAAAGAACGATCAAGACGAGAAGACATTCATGACTACAAAATTTCCATTGAATATATTCAAAATATCCAAATGTTAAGAGATCATTTGGGATTGCACCTAATCTCATATGACACATTGATTCAAAACTTTGATGTTGAACTCCAGAACATATATCAAAATCTGATGGAAGAAGAGTTGCACAGTCCTTTCAGTGAAATATATTTCTATGAGGATTTTGTTGAGCGTTTAGAAAAATTAATTTATTCAGTACGTGACTCCATATTAACTAATGAATTCACACCCGTAACTGGAATTCTTCATACAGTATTGCAATGTTCATGCGTTCTAAAAAGTCATTCAGATGGACGCATTAAAAAAATTTATGAAGTATTGTTAAATTTCTCTTGCAGACCTTGTGTAGTTTTTCTGAAAAAGTAGAATCTCTTCGAGCAAAGATCCAGTTGACTGACAGTGATATAAAAGTTATTAAAACTTACATGGAAATCTTGAGATCAGTGGAAGAAAATGCTGCACTTCAATATCATATTTCTACCTATGCAAAAATAGAGAAAAAGGAACTTGATGTTTCGTCAAAGGAAACCATGAGTAGTAGTGTATATGAAGAAAATTGCGTATATTTTAGTGAAATTTATAGTCAATTCATTTCGAAGATTGTGAAGTATTTTGATGAGACTAATGAAAGAATTAAAGAATCTTTTGAAATACTTGGTGATTATGCTTTAGACTATATCGAAAAATTTATTCTTGACATAGAAGCTATTTGCACGGTATTTGTGCTTGAGTTGAAAACTAATCTGAGTTATTATCGCACCGTTGAAAATATACATGGACATATATATAGATTACAAAAAGAAACAGAAGGATTGTTTTTTTTTCTATCGATCATATTAATTCAGAAATACCTAATTACAGACGTCTCGCACGGTCATTGACTCGTTGGAAAAAGTCAGAATGGATCAATCACATTATTCCAAATGATTCTAATCGTTTTATGCGTGATATAACAGATGAATTGGTAGAACATGCCCATCAACTAGAAGTTCGTTTCATGAAATTAGATCTTAGACTCAAACATCCTGATCATATTTGTGTAGCACAAGAATTTTTTGAAAAACTTCAATCTATCAATATTTTAGAACAAACTGTTTCAGATCTCGAGAAGTACAGAGTTGATATATTCCAAAACTTTGTTGAAACTACACTAACAGTTTTCGATCATATCAAAAGGAATTTCAGTTTGCGTGATTGAGCTGTATCACATATTAAACTTGAGTTGAATGAGCTTGAAACAATAAGAAGAAAGTACGAAATTTGCATCCAGCAAATGTCTTTTTATGAAAACAAGAATATTCATATATATATATTGAATCGGAACATTGAAGACCTTAAATCTAAGCAAAACGTAGCAGTTAGGACTGAAAAAACTAATGCAACTAAAGTAAGCACTCGACTAAGTAAAGTGAATTTAGTTGTTGAAAAATATAATAACTTACTTTCTTTAAAATCAGATCAAAGCAGCATGATTATCAAAGCAATGCGAAATGCTAGGGCAGTATTTCATCCTAACGCAGAGGCAAATGATTATTTGAGAAAAGAAGGATATTCAACTATTGACGCCGTATACACAATGCCATAAAAGAATGTGAGAAAATTCATATGGAAAGATTGCGGCTGTTTCACGATAGATATACAGAACTGAATAGGGCACTAACACGCCTTGAGTTAATACAAAGCGAATATGAATCATTAATGGTTGCGCGTGAGTCTGTTTCTTCTGAAGAAATAAATTTTCCTAGAGAACGAAATTACGAGAGTTCTACTCTACTTGATGCAAGCATTCAAGAGAAAAGACAAATACTTGATGAGTGCATGAAAAATAAGTTAACATATTATTTTACGGATAGACTCGATGCATTAACAGCTAATGATGCATTAGTTTACGTTAAAAAAATGTCAAAATGTAGCTCATGTTCGTGTAAAAGAAAATGGAGTTGAAACTTATGGTATTCTGCAAAAGCATATAAGTGAATACGATACTTTTCTTCATCAGAAAATAGGTATAAAATTTAGTCAGACAATAAATAGTACCGAGAATCAAAGAGATCCTTTTCAGTATACTCATGATTTAAAAATGTGTTTACAAGAGTTATATTCTCTTAGTAAATTTGCACATGTTTTTGAATTAATTAATGGAGCCGACAAAATCGAATATTGGCATCAAGAGTCTCTTGATTATCATGATGCTTTAAACTGTAAATTAGAACAAGTAAAAATTTCTGGTCAAAACAAAGATTTAAGAACTCAAATGACTATAGCATAAGTATTAAGTTGTTTGGATCGTTTCTGTGAAGTCATCTTTGCAAATCATGATTTTACGGCCTTATATACACAATATCGATTAGATGTAATCAAGAACTCAAGAGCAACTTATGAACTTGTGCTAAACTACATATCTCAAGGACACTATGGATGTGTAGACATGCTGTTAGATGACATGAATGAAAACTGTTGCAGCTCCAGAGACGTAGTGCAGATTAAATACTATTTATAAAGTTCTTTCAAAAACCTTGATGAGAGATACTAAAAGTATGGTAAGTGGGCTAGATGGAACCATTGAAAAAGAACAAAATGATAGAATTCAAATAAGAGACATTCAGGAAAATGTTGGAAAAATTCGAACTGCTTAGAGTAAATATACTATCATGATGTTACTTGACGATGAAACTCAAAGTATTCTTCGAAGCTTTAATAATGACATAAATGAAATTTTGTGTAAGGTTTTCTTAAGAGAACTTCGTTCTATCGAAGCTTATATCAGTGCTGATAGTTTTTGTCAAGCTGAACAAAGCGTAGATAATCTCAGTTGTATGGTATGCGAATTAGCAGGAATTTGTACGTCTGATTCTGTTACTGAGAAAAGTAAAGATCTAAAGAGAAAGCTAAATGATATAGTTAGTACAATTGCAAACCTCTATGAGTCTTTAAATATAGAAGATTGTCCGCATTATTCACCTACGGATCTTTTAAAGAAATTAGAAACAAGTGAATTATGTGGTAGACCAAGATATTACGAAGCTCGTATGTATGTACTACGTAATATTCAGTAAAAGTTTAGTTCTGCTATAGATAATCTATATGATGCTCCTTCAGTCGAGCGTCCTGCAAAAATTTGTTCTTTAAATTACTTAATATGCTTTTGACCAGAAGAATTACAAATATCATTTAAATTGCATGCCGATGAATTGATTCATTTACTCACTAATGAAGAGAAAATTCGGAGATGTAATTTTTTCAGCAGTCAAATAAACTCTGTTTTTAGTTAATTAATATAATGCGAATCACACCATTGATGTAGTTCATTGTGACTCTCGTTTATTCTGTTACTTTCTTTCCATCCAAAAGTATGCATCAAAGAGAGTAAGTGTCAGTATGGATAAGTGTGCGTTTAAAGTAGATAAGCAATAAATGTTTTTCATTGTTTTTTAAATAATTTTTATGTTTTAATGTAAAAACTGAATAAATAAATGAGTAACAAGAATAATAAAAAGTGAAAAAAAATGAATGTGTGATGTTTGTACTTAGCTAAACTGATACAAACACACAGGGACATACGTATTGTGAACTCTATTGTATTATTCGATCGACTGATCGTATATTCTGGTAGAAAATCAATAAACTTATTTGATTCTAGTTCTTGGTAAAGAATTTTTTCAGGTGAGAAAAATAGACAGTCCTGAAAAACCAATAAGTTCACATACAATTGCTTGGAGTATTGGCTAGTACAAATAATCATATGAGAGAGTGAGAAATATTAAATTAATAACAAATTACAATTTGAACATTACATCTTCCTCAATTACATATCATCAATGATCATGAAAAGTCATTAAATTTAGCCAGTATTATGATCCGAAATTCTTGTCATAGGTTATGAAGAAAAAATAAGTGAGTTCACAATATATTCAGTATCAAAAAGCATTTTTGGTTTCATCGATCGAGCTTGAAATATGGAATAAGTTTTCAATTTCGATGCATATGACTGCTGTTTTCCTATAACGGCATGGTCAAGAGTCATGGAATTTGAGTGTGTGTATAAGCGAGTGAAGAGATGCCTAACAGTCACACCCTTCATACCAGATCTTCTGCATTTTTATACGTTTTTCTTATGAAAAATTTATCACTATTATGAATACTATAAAAGTGGAAAAGTGATAGATTTAACATAAGAAAAAGATTTAAAAACGAAAAAGTTTTATCTTCTCCTTATTTGTCACACTTAAACTAAGATAACTAACATATTGATATTCGATATATTCAGGTGTGGGTGTGGGTGTGAACAGTATAAAATTGAGTAGTTAAAGAAGTTCACAAAAAATGCCACTCTAATTATAGAAGTACTGTTTTATGATAGACTACAAACAATGTTTAATTCAAGAAAAACACTGGGTTATGCGTTGCATGTTAACATACACTTTCGAACGAAATTAAATCTGTAGAATGAAGACTCAAAATTCATGAAACAGAAAAAAACAGAAAATGACAAAAATCATCTAAACTTTTTGAGACATAATGTACCAAATGAAAAACCATGTCGTTTATAATAAGCAACTCTCTAGGTATCTTCCCATGTATTTATCTTAGTTTTCATTTTTTTTTAACTGAAAAAGAAAACGATAGACTAATATCAATTTGGACGTTAAAAACGAATAAATTATCACGATCTTTCTCATTCGTTTTAAGATACTTTAAATGAGATTATTACTGTTCTCATGTTGCTGACAACAATCGGAAAAAATTCAGACACTAGGCGATTTACCTGATTGTATCATTACCGAATTAGATCAACAGGAAGTCAGGATGTCAAGTCGATTTGGATAAACAAGGGTATCTGTCAATTCTTATCATTTTTCTGCTATTTTGTACATGAATTATTATATTATTACTAATAGAATAAAAGTCAACATTAATATATTCAATGTCATCAAAAACTTGTAATCAGCAAGTAGCATATATTGCTTTAGTGAATTAGAAGAAAGAATACTCGAATAATTAATTTTAAGTTCTTTTCTTATACTTCAAAAAAATGCCGTCTCAAATTATGACAATATGTTTTGTTGATTACTATTCGTATTTTTAGATGTATGACATGGAATAAGTAGCAAAATGTTCATAACAATGTTGTGGCGTAGCCAGGAGTACAGCCATTAAACAACATTCCATGAATTTTTTTTTGAAATCAGATATTTTAAAGTTAAAGAGCACATTTGTGGAACCATACAAATACTTTGCAATGATTTTAATAATTTGAGTTTTTCCTAGCATCAATAAGTTTGACTTCTAGCCTGGAAATAAAACTAGATACAATATGTATGAAACTCTCTCTTTCTTCATAATCTAGACGTAAAAATCTTTTTTAGCTTATTCTTCTTCGACATTTTTTTCCATATACATGGTATTTGATTTCTTTCGAATTAATTATTAAAATGAAAATTATCAAATTTCGTATTTATATTTTCAATAATTTTGAATTTTTCTATATTTAGATTTTTGTTCTAAGAATAGAATAGTTCAAATTCAACTAAAATTATAATTTCCGTATCTCAAAATATTCTTTTTTTTATTATTATAAATAATACTATTGAATAGTAATAGATATTTTTAAAAAAATACATCAAAGAAATATGAACCGATCAAAATAGAAAATTGATGCACGGTCAGTTGTGATACATTTTTTGTAGTGCATTGTGTTGCTCGTGGAACCATAAGTGATAGGCGTTACGCATGGTGCACAACATGAATACAAAAAAAAAACATTTTCTAGACTATGATGTAACTCGATTACATGTTCCGTCCAAATCAGAGCCCTTCATCTATCAACCTCAACATAAATAATTAAGTTACATCCGTTAAAATAATGATAAAAAGAAATCTTTTTTATTTTTTTCCATAATTTATTTTTACAATATCTTTTAATTTATTAAGTCTCTTTATATGCAATAAATAAATAAAAATATTATGTTAGAAAGAAAAATTTATGATCCTAAACTAAATAGTCTTTGGTAGTCAGTTGATGTACAATACGCATATAGCATCAGTGAGAATAATCGTTAAAACAAAATTAATCAGTTCATTTATATGAGTTTTTCATTTTTTCTAAAAAGATGTTTTTTTTTACAGATTGGAGTACACTGTACAATACTCTAATTCAGTCTGTAAACTGAAAATTGATATAGAGAAGCAGTCTAAACTTTTCGCTAATTAACTAAAAAAAAAACAAAATCATTTTTAAGAACTTAAACATTTCTCTCTGAAAAAATTAGCTTTCCCTTACAAAGTCGGTTGTGTCTGCAGTGATGTCGATTGACTATTCGTTATTTATCAACAAGAAAATCATTAATTTATTTCTGTTTTTATTGTAACTTAGTCACAAAAACATGACAACAGTTATTTTTAGAACTAATTATATAAAAAAATGATATCATAATTGATTATTTTCTTATTTTATACTACCCTTAAATATGTCAGAGTTCACATCGAAAGTCAATGTGGGCATAGACGAAATGAAAGATCAATACACAAACGAAAATAGTTGATTATCGGAAATTAGATATACAATATTTAATGAATTTGTTTGATACCCTTAAAGAAAAACTGTCTTATTGGAATCATTCATTAATGATTAATAAAGTCAAGTTTTATCGTCAATAATTTTATTACAGAAAAATCAAGAATAATTAATTTTCATTCATTTAAAATCACTATTGAAGAAGGAAGAAAGATTACAATTTATAACGTGTAACAGTATTTCATACATAACTTCGAGCAAAAATAATGTCTTCAAAATACTCAAATATTTTGTTCTTCAATGACTGAGACTTATTTTATTTTTCAATAATGTAATCGTCGTGAAAAAAAAACCATCGTATTATTTATGATTCTTTGTATATATTGCTTTTTTTCCTCACTGAATAATCGAATGATTGCGTCTATATATGTTTCATGGTCAAAGTAAAGTTAAGAATGACATAGACAGACTAATTATTGGTGATATGTTTATTTCACCTATTCACATGGTTTCCTTCGATACCTGTCTTTGTATTGCACAAAAAAGCAATGTATTTTATCTATTCTTTTTTCTTTCAAAAGAAATGAGCAGTATAGTGCAGGTTTTTAGTTTTTCTTGATAATTATTGACAAAAGAAATATATTTTTTTTGAATGTCATATATTATTCATGCATTCAAATTTGACATTTTGTTTGTATTTCAAAGTCCTTATTTATATCAATGATATATAAAGGTCATAATACTTTCACGCGATT